GATATTTTCTATGTTTTAAATTGAAATGATCGAAATGAACGAGTCTTTAATTTTCTATATTGTGTTTACGAAGTCAATGGTCAATTAATGAGTCGATTAATGCCACTTAATTTGGGTGATTTCTACATGTTTCTAGAGGAGAAGTCAATGATGGAACCTAAGCATTTGTAATGTATTAAAAAAATTAAAAAAAAAACATTTCAATTTCTAACATTAGACGTGGGACATTATGATCGTGTACAATGTTTAGAGACTAATAAATCGCATTAATCACATTATTGAATCGGCTTATTGACGTGAAATCGAGCTCGCGATCGATTAGGATATTTGTTCTGGTTTTGTCTAGGGTTAGAGAGGAAATTGGCTTGAACGAGTTGGATCCGACGGCTAAGAATAGTTAATGTTTCATTACATATAATTTAATTGTTTTTGAGAAAATGGAGAAAAGAAATTTTTTTGACACGATGTGCATTGTTTAACGAAAATGACCCAACTTCACAAGTGTTCAAAATATGAAAATATAATTTAATTGTTTCTATTTCATTTGTAGCACTAGCTGATAAATTGCTATCGTGCTGAATAGTTAGGTCCAAATTTTACAATTAATGGAGCTCATAATCCAATCTGTTAATTAGTCAACCCTCTTTGTTTCATGCAGTGAGGGAAATGAACTGAGACAAATTCCATTTTCTAAAGCAATTTCATTGACTTGGGCTTATCTTTTTCGTCTTTTTGACTGGGGAAGGTTCTAAACTTTTAATTGGTCCTCGTCTCTGTCATTTGAAGAAGTTAATTATTATATAAAATGGTAATTGCATATTTATAATTTTATTAATTAATAGATGAAGTAAGAAATGAAAGTTTGCATTCATAAAATTATTATATAAATAGTAAGCATTATTATAGTTTTATTAATTATTAGATTAAGTAAGAAATAAAAATATGTGTTCACAAACGTAAGTGACGCGGCTTCGGACAAACTCAAAGAAGAATATACAAGTGATTGGAGAAGATTTCGGGTAAACTTACAAATTTTGTTGTTAATTGTGAAAATAAATATGTTCAAATTAAGTTGTTGTTTATTATTAATTAATTAATTTATTGGAATTAGCATTATAAGCCCAGGTTTCGTAAACGTTCTTCAAAAACCTTTTTCTTTTTTTTTTTCATAATCATTTTCAACCACACATTTTTACAATAAAACGTTCTTCACGTAAATTCAAATATTTTCCTTACTTTATAAATATATATTATCCAAAAAATTACTGTTCAAAAATTTATTATTTATAAAAAAAGACTATCAAACAAGGACTAAATATGATTTTTAAAAACTTTTTTTCATGTAATACTAGAGAGGGGAGGGAGGGGGGGGGGGGGGGGGTAATGAAGCATATATTTTCAATGCGAAGCATGATCCAAGAACATAATTATATGTTGGAGCTTTTTATAATGTCCATACTTATGGCCTATGAAATTATTTCTTCTAGTTAGAAGAATTTTTATAGAAAG